CATAGCGACTCCGGATGCGTAGCGTAGCGGAGCATAGTTATCTGTTTAGCTTTCTATTTAGCTCATAATCAGAAAAAAGACAATAAAAATAAGTAGCAAATTTTTAGGTACACACTTGATATATATAAATCGTTTTTCTTAACCAAAAATACGTTATCTTTTTTGAGTGCTAAAAACGTTTACTGCCATGGATGAGCATAGCGATACCGGATGCGTAGTGGAGCATAGTTATCTGTTTAGTTAGCATACAAATAGTAAAAAAGATAATAAAAAATAAGTAGTAAATTTATGCCTATTCTGGCATGAGCTCCGCTCTAGGTACACCAATTTAACCAAAAATTCTATTTCAGACGCCTAAAGGCGTCCTGCACCGCAGAAGAAATGAGCTACGCTCTAGGGCTTAATTTCATTTCCGATGTATATTTTCTAAAGCTTTTTCACGAAGCCTTTGATAATAGGATGTAACATAATATCCTCTTTTATGAATTTTGCATCGTCCACAAGCAGAAGCAGTTGGTTTTCCACAATCAGGACAAAGTACACGTTTTTTTGTCTTATAATGAAGACGGCATCCCTCAGGACGTGTACACAAAGCACAACAAATTTTACCAGAATTATGTATATATTGGCAGGTATATTCACCGATCATATTTGATTAGGATAAATAATTAATTAAAGTAAAGATTTTATAAAGTAATATATAATACTTTTTATACACGATGGTTAAAAATACAACTTGTGATAGATGTGGATTAAATCTTTCCACTTATCAGAAATATCAACAACATTTAAATCGAAAAAATCCTTGCCGTCCTAAGAATCTTCCTCAACCCCCAATTCCAGTAGAAAATCCAACTATTCAAAATTCTGCTGAAAATCTAACCCCAGTACAAAATGTAGGAAATCTTACTCCAATACAAAATCCAGCACCGACCCCGGAAGGTGATCTCATATCATTTGATGAAAACCCACCGACGCACCAGCCAGCCCAGCCGAGAGAGGCAAGCGCGCTGGCAGTCAACCTTTTAACAGATTTAACGATAGATGAATTAATAAAAAGGCTATCAAAACCAAGCGATGATGTGGAACATCGAAGCTCTGCTTCTTCAGAATATGATACCGCTGAAGAAGAACCAGATATTCATTTCGAAAAAATTAAGGATCCATATATTAATAGAATAGCAGAAGCCGGAAAATTTAATGAAGGTGAGGTATGTGATTACTATGCATTCATACCAAAAGATTATTATGCGGAAAACGAGCCATTAGGCTTTTTTGAATCAATCGAAGAAAAGATTGGCGATGTATACAAAAGAGAGTTAGCTCTAAAAGGAGGGTTAAAGGTGAGAATTGTATTAATAGCATATATGAAGAAAATTACGCCAGAATCTCAAGAGCCAATATTTAAATCATTTCCATTCAAACATAGTACAATAGAAATTATAAGAGAAGATCGAATTAATGCAACTATAGAAAAAGGATACAATGAAATTATAGATGAAATAGAAGATGAAGCGTTACAAGAGTCAGGATGGTCTTTGTTCGAGCAGAAGAGGTATTTCTCGAGATAAGTGCATTCAGACCATTGCGAGGTAGTAGTTATCTAGCTTTACCGGAAGCTTTAGATAAACCTCAACTAGGATTAGTTAATCCGCAAAATAATGATGATAATGAGTGTTTTAAGTGGTGTATTAGTGCATATCATACAAGAGAGGAAGCATTAAAAGCAAATAAAAAACCTCCTCATCTTAATGAAATCCGAAGACTTAGACGAAATGGAAACATAGCAAATTTTGAAGGTATAAAATTTCCAGCAACACTACATGATGTTGATAAATTCGAGGAAAATAACCCAAACTATGCTATAAATATATTTAGACCAGTTTATAATAAAGTATTTGGAAAAATAAAAGTAGATATAGATCTATTACATATCTCTGAAAGAAATTATTAAGTAGCGCATATGATAGATTTATTATATTTAACAGAAGGTGAAGAGAATTTAAATGACCGAAAAAATACAAATGATATACCAGAAGGGTTAAAAACGCATTACGTATTTATAACAGATTTTACTCGACTAATGCGTAAGTGGAATAACCATCATGGGAAAAAAAATACTTTTGCCGAAAATGCTTACGATTTCCTTATAGTCGACTAGATTTATTAGAAAAGCATATTCCAACA